GTGGAGTCTGCTTCTTGTGGGATCGGATCTCGTCTCCTTTTTACACTGTTCTCCACTCACGGCGCAGTGGGGACGTTCTGCCTGCTTGTTATACTTTGTTCATGATTTCACCACACATGCAACGGCTGCGTGGTCCAAGTCGAGAGCTGTCGCGCGAAGGCTGGCCGTGATGGAAAATGCAAACACAGAAGGAAATGAACGAGTGTTGACTTTCGGGACAACGGCATCGTTACGATGCACTGCAAAGTTTTTTAAGCTTCAGTCCAAACCTTTTGATTTGATGAATTTCTGGGATCAGCGCCAACGCTAGACAGTTCCTGTTGCGTGAGCCCTGACCCCCGCGCCTGATCGTGACGTTCCGGGCTAAGGGAAAAAAATTTGCGGCGCAAGCTTAACGTGCGGTAATGCTCGGTACGACCTGTCCCACCCCTGACACTATCTGGCCCACATCGCGACTGCGGCCGCTGGCATGGGCCACGGGCCATCCTAATCGCCGCAAATTGATCATCAATATCTGAATCGCTTATCATGTCCCGAAGGCGACTCGAACCCACGGGTAGATGAACCTAGGTAGGTGAGGGAGGGGCCTCAACGAACGGGGCTATTTAGCTCACGCCATATCGGTTTGCAGCCTGTTTTGCGCCAAATTCTCGCTCGGAGATGTGTACGCGTAAAAAAGATTTCACGTCCAACACTTATTTTGCTCATTCTGCTTGAAGCCCCGGTCGCTAAGTGGAGTGGATGTTCATAAATTTTGCAAAGTTGTCTTTCTTTTGATACCATTACATAAATAACTACCTTTTAAGCGCGCCATTTTTGATATCGCTTTCGTGCTAAGCTGCGGGAAAAATGGCCGTTAGGCGGCGAAGACTGCGCATGTGAGCACTACAAATCCTGAGCGTTTTTCCAGTTAAATCAGCTTTAACAATCAAAGTTGCGTTTCACGGCTGGCTTGCCGGGTGGTTGAACCGGTTCGATGTGGAGCGTCGGCCACCTTTAGGCCGTTGAGAAAAGCCCGGCGCCAGTTAACCGCGTTCGAACGCTAGCCGTGGGCCTGGTGTTCGGGGCTGGATCACGTGCATCATTGGCCGTGTCTCAGCGGTGACGGTGGCCGACAGCGGCGTGATATCAGTTGGTCTCGGGTCGGTGTCGCGCCGAGCGGCGGGGGCTCTTCATGCTCGCGTCTCCGGCTGGGCTGGACCGGCGCCGGCTGGCGCCGTCTCCTTGGCTCGGACGGCGTGCGTTGGTGTCCGTCCGACGGGGCGCGTCCCGCCAGGTGGGCCGGGGGTGGCGGCCTCCCGGCCGACCGGAGGGTGGCGGTGTCTCGGCTCCGCAGCGGCGTCTGCGGTCCGCCCGCCGCCGCCTGGCGCGCGTGGCGTGACACAGTGCGCGGCCAGCGGCGCGGCGCTCCTCACAATCAGACCCAACTGCTGTCTGATCACATGGTTCCGCAGTTTGAGTGTAGGATTGGTGAGATAATTTTTCGGAGTGCCACTCTTATTTTTCGGGTGCATTCCTGTATTCATGGCTGGATGGAACTGAATAGAATGGAGCATAATGAATGTATTGAGCACAGATAGCGGGTGATATCTTTGTCGGCGTAGTGTACCTTTGTACCTGTGCCGGAACCTGTACCTGTGCAGAGCACTAGTGTAATGATACAATTTCGGCTATGTCGGTGAATATTTTATTTGAAGTGCACATTTGTGTTGCTAAACTGAGTAGATGGGCATCTTGACAAGCGTTGCGAATGGGATTGCTCCGTCGCGGTTCAGACCGGCGGTAATGCTAAACTGGCCGTACTTGACGCCACTGTAAGGAATAGCTGCGTCAGCCGCAGCCGTGTTTAATACAGCGGACGGGTAGCAGGTTAATATCGTTTGGTCGCAGTAAGTAGTGCGAATGTTATCGTGTGTTCCTTGTTGCAGAACGGAAGTTTTATTGGATGGAAATCAATGCGCTTGTGCTTATTTTGCCAGACGACTGCGTGAGCGACTTGAAACGAGCTGGGATATCAGGTGAATTTTCGATTCCGTACCTTGCCATCCCGCGGCGTTTCCCCACGCTGGTGGAAATGGGGCCAGTGAAAGCCAGCAGTTCGGGTGTGTCCGTGTCTGGACTTTACAGTCAAGTTTGCGGTAGCGAATGCAGCGAGGTTCCAAGGGTACCGTTCGTATGGGGTATGTGTGCGAACATGCGCTCTGCACGCAATTGGTTTGCTGCTGAAAATGGTGCGTCTACGTGAGTGGGCACATGCTGGATCGCCTGCAGAGGGAAGTCGTAGAATGACGATGCTGCTGTGATGGCATACTGGAACCGTTGGTTCTCCGCCACTTCCAATCTCTCGCATCGCACGCTGGAAGTGTTGGTGTTCTACGAATTCCAGGAACTCGCTAGCGCAAGTTACGCTCAGTTTGTGTACACATGTTGGACTTTATCGGTACTGTACCGTTTATGACATTGTCTTCCCGGAAATCCCTCGAATAAAAGTTATTCTCATGTGACACGTACCGCCAATTGGAAGCATGGCGAAACTTGGGTACTGTCTTGAGGCCTTGGTCCTAGTCAGGCTGTTCTCTTCTATGTGTGGTGAAGTTTGTTTTTGCACTCCGTAATCCCTGGCGTCGGCACGCCTTCAAATCCCTACTCTCACTGATGTTTCTTTGTTGAATCAACCCGAGTTTTGGTCCGTTTGGGAGCACGTTATGCTGGCAAAGTGACGCCAAGTAGTCGGTAGGTCATATTTTTTTAGTGTTGTGCAGTGGTGTGTTACAGGAACCCGAGTATCTGTCCATGGAGATCGGTGGCACAGCCGGAACGTTAGTCACCACCACCAACGCCCGCCGCCAACCTGCTACACACGACGTCGCTGCCATTTGAAAGGGTCCGAAAACGGTCATCGTATTTTTGCGGCTCCAATTTACGTTTTGCAATCAGCAGTGGACAGGGGCTGGACATGTTTTCCCGTGTTTACGTGGCAACAGGCCACGCGAGACATCATAACTGTAATCGACCACGATGTTAGCTGGCTCCGTCCTGTTCTCGTACAGCTGTGCTCACCGATCCTTCAGCCAGTGAACTCGGGAAACATGCGCGAACCGTCCCATTTGCACCGCAACGAGACCGATAGGCCATTGCGAATACTTCTGACTTGACGCGTTCGGTGGCTTTCGTCATTGTTCGACAGCTGGAAAACAGTCGTGTGGGAGGAACGGTTGGCGGGGATTCTGCGTTGCGGGTATGCCGAGCGAGAATGTGTGACGTTTGTATTTGCACTTGTATTAGTTTATCCATATATGTGTTCGGGCAACTGGGTTGGTCGTCTTCTCCAAGATTTTGTCTGAACCGTTTTGATTGGACGAATTTCTGGGATCAGCGCCCACGCTAAGCAGGAATTCTTGCGTGAGCCCTGACCCCAGCATCCGATCGTGAAATTCCGGTTCAACGGTAGAATTTTGCGTCGGAAAGCTTAACGTGCCGTAATACTCGGCACGGTCCTCCCGTCCTCTGACGTCACTCGACCTTTAATGCGGTCACTGCCATCGATCGTAGGCAATCGCTGATGGAGGCGAATAGAGAGCGCCTATTGCGACTCGAACCCATCCCGCCACGGGCAGCAGCCTGCAACCGGTGGGTGAATCCGAAGGCGAATTCGGAAAAAAATCTGAAAAGCGAAATCCAAATCCGAAAGGAATTCGGTGTTTTGGCCGAATGAGGTGTTGGGACGGACGAAATGCGTAACATAGCTTTGCTTTGATAAGTTAATTACCCAATCACAGCTGATGGAGAAGAACAGCAAAGTCTTCGCGGTTTTACAGCGAGGGTTTCGGATCATTGCACCCTAATGTTCAGACATGAATGCTGCCCGACAGTGCTGGAACACCACTGGTGTGCCAGCTTATTTGTGTTGCTCCTCTGGTGTAGCACTGGCCTTCCGCGGAACTCCGACACACCACAGGTGCGGGGAGTTCCACAGAACCCATGCCAGGGTTCCGCAGAGTCCACGTTCAAACAGAACTTCGCAGAAACGTTGCAGTGCAGGGAGCAAGCGCTGACGGAACGTCGTCGTGCCGTCTGCTGAGTAGCCGGGCCACCAGTTCCTTGAACCATACGCAGTGTGAAGTGATTGCCCAATCTGGGACCCGGGAGCTGCTCTGGGTGTGAATGTTCCCGTTATATGATAATGATCCCGACATCGTCGCTTCTAAGCGATGAAAATCAGGCTGTTAAGATGGAAGCCTTGCTGTCCTAATTATTTTTATATTTTTCTGCCACATGATTTGATGTCTTGTGGCATTGCAAAATGATTCTCACCTCCGCCGCCGATATTTGGTGAGCCGCCGTCCGCGCTGATGCCACCCGGAGCGGGCCGCTGGCACGGAACTGTCTTAGTCATCCCGGTCATGCTCGCCCATTGGGCAACGCCAGCGGAAATTACAGACCTTTTCGTCCCTGCCCCGAGTCTGATTCGCAAAGAGCAAGGCATTTGTTGTTTAAGGATGATCCATGGCACGTGCTTCGTAGAGCGTCGGGAAAGGTTAATAGCGCATCGCTATGAGTTTTTCAGTAAGCTTGTCGTGTGAACTCGAATATGTGGGGCTTATCAGCCATGCTTTGGTATGTTTCTGAGTCTGCTGCCTGAATTATCTAGACTCTGAAACATACGTGAGCATGGCTGATAAGCTCGACATATTTGCGTTCACATAACAAGCTCACTGCCGCCTGAATTTTCGAGTCATGTAATGGCCATGTGGCGGTATGCTGATGGTGTGATGCGTTTTCCTCGCTGCTGCAGTGTTTGTGTGGTGTTTTTGCGCCGTGGCGCACGTGACCCCCGTGCCGGGCGATGCGCGGCGGCCGGGCAGCACGCCGTCGTCTGCCGCGCGGCGGCCGGCCAGCACGCCGTCGTCCGCCGGCTCAGGCGCCTCCCGCTCGTAACTCGGAGCTGAGCTGTGCAGTTGCACGGGCGTCGCCTCTGACCGATGTCCGACCCTTTGCAGCTGGTGCTATCCGCCTGCAGTTCGTACTTTGAGCACCTATTCACCATGCACCCGGACAAGGCGCCTCTGGTCATCCTCAAGGATATCAAATATGAGGACATCAAAGCCATCGTGGAGTTCATGTACCAGGGCGAGATCAATATATCGCAGGTGAGGGTCATTGACACGGCGCGCCGCCCGCTGCTCGGTCCGCCGCCATAGGCAGACCAGGGTCTGCCGGCTTCACACTGACGAGTGCACTCGTAAAATGTTGCAAGACGTTATGAAGCGCCGTAACGGGCGTCTACATTATCTAATATACGGTCGTTGTGCTTGGCCGATTTTCTTGATTATGCCGAGCCTGATGCAAATCGGGCGTCGCACTTGTTTGGCGGTGTGCAGTTTTGGCGCGGCGCCAGCGGGTTGCCGCCGCCGGCCCGGCTGCAGACAGAGGGCGGTCGCCGCGCCGCCGCGCCGCGCCGCCCGGCCAGACGGAATTTGCCGGAAAATTATCCGGCGGCGTCACACGGAGCGGGCGCGCCGGAGAGGAGCCACAGTGGCGCCGCCCCCGGCCGCGCCGCGCAACTTCGCACGGCCGGCGGCTGGCATGGCGGCGCCAATTGATTCACAATTTATAGCGAGCGTTCAGGGCTGCCGGCTTGTTGCTTGGTGCGGCTGTGGACATGTGCTACAAAATGGTAGACACCCTCAGCATCGCTGAGCCTGCGATGTAACTGTCCAAGGCGGTGGGGATCGTCCTGCGCGTGCTTTCTTTTGGCACACAAATTTGTGTGTTGCGATGTGCTGATTGGTTGCCCAAGTCAGTTAGGAACAGTTTTGGGTCTTTGGAGTGTACGCTCGAATGGGACGGTGTCTCATTTGAACTTAGCTGTAAACACTCAATATTGCGCAGTGTATTCAAGGCACCCGTCCCCGCGGCTTTCACAAGGTTCGCAAGGCTTACCCTGTGCCATTGCTCCGAACCATTTGTAATTTTATGATGTTCGCAGCAGGCAACTCTGTCCTTTCCTGAAATGACCTGCTGTGTCAGGCACTGCGTCGGCATGTTTCGTGCAGCCGCAGTTATCCCAGAGCACCCTCGGAGTTGTCTGGGACGCCTTTGTTCCAAGCAAATGTTTTCCCCGCGTGCGCACGCCTTTACAGGAGGCTGAAAATAAGAAGCTTGTCCTCATGCTTTCCATAAGAGAAGTAGATTAAATCTGGCAGGAAGTCGATCAGATGCCAGTAAGGGCTTTTTGCTTTTACTTTGTGCAAGCCTTTGGATTGGATGGGCTTCTGAAATCAGAGACCACGTTAAGCAGCGCTTGTTGTGTGGACCCTGACCCCACCATCCGGTTGGGAAATTCCAGAGAAGCGGCAGAATTTTGTGGCGAAAGTTTGCATGCCGTACTGCTCAGCGCGGCCCGTCATACCCTCTTGACGTCAGGTGACCTGTATCGCGACCGCTCCAACATCCGCGGGCCATTCCAGTCAGGAGCAAATGGCGAGCGCTGAAAACGACTCTGAGTATCGGGACGGGCAAGGTTTTGTCATTTTGGCTATTAAGCTGAAATGATACCAGCCGGGCATTATAAATGCTTCCGGGAAGGGGCTTTGAGACCTCCCACGAAGATCGAAGGTGGAAAAACTGTTTGCGCGGCGAAGGTTAAGGACAGCGGTTGCCGGCGACTCAGCAGCAACTAAGCTACACGTAACAAGTTATGGTGTCACCGCCCGGACAAAGACATTGTAATTCGATTATCGGAGGCGACGACCGAAGGCATATTTATTTAGTCGTGAGACCCCTGTTTCCTGTGAGCTATTTTGGGGACGGAGGCAGAGGCGCAGCCAGCTCTCTCAGCCCAATGTCAGATCGACTGACACGACGATCTGATGACAGTCTACCCGTGGTCGTGCCCCGAGCGACACGGCATCGCTCTGCGGTCCGCTGAGTTACTCTGGCTGGCATCCGACTGCTACAGTCTGCGTGCTAACCGCTGAGCAAGAGCAGCATCACCAGCCCTGGTCATTTCGTGATGATGTCGCGTAATGATGCTGGCCGGCACGTACGGTAGGCCTCTGTCAGAATGATGAGATAACACCAGGGTTTGTATGTGTGGCCATGGTAGTCTTGCTTTTTTGTTTATGAGCTGACCAGTTCTGTTCTGGCGGGCGATACTGGGGTCACTGTGCGCTGATAATCCTAAGACCTCTCGTCAACTGTCAAGGTCATGTGAGGCCTGGTGACTGGTCAACGGGTTCGCCAAGAACGGGTTTAAAAGGAAGGTACATGGGCAGGCTCTGTTCCGGATCAAGCTAAGTCAATTGACCTTGTTTGACTCGGCTGACTAGGAACTTGATGACCAACTCCAGACCGTACAAAAACGTAGAATTCTGTCTTCTATTTTTCTTTAGATCTACCCGGAACATGAACAGGTGTATGCCTTTGCGCTTGGTATCTCCGGAGCTCTCCTCGCCACGCACCAGCTGTGCCACAAACAGCATTGATTTTGCCAGCGAAATTTGTGTTCCCTTTCCGAAGTCAACCAAACGTTCACATTGAAGAGCCCAGTTTCATTTTCATTAAACTGTCGTGTTCATCGATGCGGTAGCTTGTTCTTACAGTCAGTTGTTAACGTGCCTGCAACAGGATCTTGATGCTTATGTGCATCTGGCGTGAGACAGCTCTGTTCGGTACGTCGAGGCGCTGAACAAAATCTGGCCTGCTGCTGGCAGGGAAATGAAGATGAAAAAAACGAGGGGTGATTACAGCGAGACTGCGCATCGCCCCACTGTGTTAAGGAGTCCAGAGAGCGGCTAAAACGCTTTCGAGGAAAGTTGTTTGGCCAGTTCTAAAAGGTGCAGGGATCATGACATTCTCCAGCTCTTAATCCGTAGCATTCTGACCTTGGGGATACTTATATCGAGCAGGACAAAAAAGCAGGGGCCATAACTGATTAAACAGGCAGTGGAGGGGTTATTTCCGCACAAACCTGCGAGGGTATGCCGAGAAACTGCACAGCGCATGCTCCTGCGTGATGCACCTAGAGGCGGTTTTGGCATGAATCGTGACGTTTTTCATGAATGCAGGTGCGCACGTCAAAGACGAATAGTGGCAATTGAGGCGACAGCCTTTCGGTCATCTGCCGGGGCTTACGTCATACTAAAACCACTGAACCCACGATATTAATTTCTAAAAAAGAGAAGTGATACTGAACGGTTAATGGTTATAATGCGCTGACAATATATAACGGTTATATATATATATATATATATATATATAACCGGTAACGGTTATAATGCGCTGAAATTTGTATGGATATGCTGGAAATAACGCAGTTATTATTTCTACAAAAACTGGGGCTCGGTTTTGGGCTGCGTGGATAGTTATTTGGTATGCACCGCTCTGTGTGTGGATTGCTTCCAGCCAGGATTCCCTGCCGGAAATGGCTGGCAATGAGGCCGTGTCCTGCCCCGCATGATGGCGGCTGAGGGCACGCGTGCACCCTCTGCGTAGTGCCGTCTGCGGTCGCACGTGTGTCAGATGTATGTGGTGACAGCTTGGAGCGGCGTGCCCGTTTGAAGTGACAGCTGTGACCCCGCGCGTCGGCTGTGTGAGATGGCGGCTCTGAGCGCGCGTGTCCGCCGCGTTCGCAGGAGCAGCTACCGTCACTGATCCGCACTGCCGAGACGCTGAAGGTGAAGGGTCTGGCGGAAGTGAGCACGGGCTCGGAGGGCCAACAGGCGCCGGCTGCCCAAGGCCCTCCCGTGGCACCGCCGCCGCCGCCTCCGCCGCCGCCAGTCTCCAACGTGCCCCCGTCCATCCCCATGACGATGGTGGCGCCGTCTATGGTGGAGTCGCCCGAACTACTGAAGCAGGTCTGTGATCGGCGGATGGGACGCGGTTTGATTACTCTCGGTTTTCAGGGACAAAAAGTCGCACGGGAAGAGTGGAACGAAAAACTAGAGGACAAAAAGTAAAAAAGGGGAAAGGATTTACCAGGCATGAATTAAAAATGAGAGAGGACCACGGAACAAAAAGTCAAGCAGGTCAAAAGTCAACAGTGATTAAATTTAAAAATAGGAAAAAGCTGAGAGGCCGAAAAACGTCTAAGAGTAGATAAAATCCTGTGGGGATTTGAGTCAGAATGTGTGGGGGACGACACAAAGCACATCGTCGGATCTGTGTGCATGTGATCGGACGGCCGTCTCCCTGTATCGTCGGCAGTGTGTGACGTCGGATCTGTGTGTGTGTGTGTGTGTGTGTGTGTGTGTGTGTGTGTGTGTGTGTGTGTGTGTGTGTGTGTGTGTGTGTGTGTGTGTGTGTGTGTGTGTGTGATCGGACGGCCGTCTCCCTGTATCGTCGGCAGTGTGTGACGTCGGATCTGTGTGTGTGTGTGTGATCGGACGGCCGTCTCCCTGTATCGTCGGCAGTGTGTGGCGGCTATTCAAACGTTGCCCGTCTTCCACTCAAGTGTTATGTACGTTTTAAACAAACAGTGCTGGTGCAGTGAACTTTGAGATGACTGCGCGTACTCTGAATGTTAGTTTGTGAGTCCAAATTGTTTTTTTTTTGCTGTTGCTCATGTGGTACCGAGAGATTGAGCCCACCAAAAAGAGTTTTTCGTTGGTGAGATAGGAAGATTTAATTCCCAATTGCAGTTTTCAATCTCAACTCATCCCGAAAGTCTGATCTTTTGACGCCTTTGCGCGTGTATTCGACTGTAACGATGGGGAATAAAACGCCGTCATGGTGGCAATATCGTTCGGTGATGCTGGCCTCGCATTGGGGGCATTGTGAAGCCAGAATCTTGAAAAGTATTGCCGCGCAATGAAAAAACGGGAAAAAGAAAGGCACTACTTGAATGAGAAGAATATACCTGCACCCCTGGTCATCTACTATGCGAAAGGAATATGTTACTAAACAACTTCTTAGCGGGTCCAATTTTTTGAAACTTAAATTTCGTTTCGTATTACGTAGGCGTCAGATGGTTTCTGCTATTCCCAGTTCTGTGAAACTCGTTCACGATCCCTCCATGTAGGAAGGATAGACCTAGAGTCGATAGGCTTTCGCCTTGGGTGGTATGTCAACTGCCTTTGTTCTGAATGCTTGCAGAGCGTCAGAGGGGTGCAAAGTAATTTGAATATGATGGCACTTCCATTGGGCATGTTTGGTAGAATCATTGCGCTCAGGTTATTACGCCGATTACATCGGGACTCTCATTGTAACGTCCTGTTTTCGGAAAGATGTGATGTTTCTAAGGATTCTGTGGCCAAAGGTTGCGTCAGTTTGCAGGCCCCTACACTGAAGCTCGTGCTTTGTTTTTGTAAGCATAGCGGTGTAAGGTAAGTCACGAAAGCCGTTCGCAGTCCACGAAAAGCCAAACAACCCATCAGTCGGCACTGATGCTGATCGCCCATAAAGTGTCTTTCCTCCCATGCGTTGAACCTCATCTTTGGCGACACCGGGGCGGGCCCGAATGGGCACTGATGCCCACTCGAACGTCAGTTCCTGGTCCCCAGTGGAGCGGCGCTGACGGCCGAGCGGTGGGGCGTCGTCATCCGGCGCGCTGGGCCCGCAGCCCGTGATGTCTGTGATGGGTGCGCCGATGGCTCTGTTTGACGGTGGGCGGGCCACCGTGTCCGGCAGGTGCGCCAGCGCGCCCTAGCCCCGCAGCCCATGATGTCCATGATGGGCGCTCCGATGGCTATGCAGAAGACTTGGGGCGGCCAGATGCTGGAGACGAGGCCCAGCGCCGACTTCAACCCGGTCATCTCGTGCGTGGCCGGCAATGCGGGCCTCGACGACAGCGGCAGCGGCAGCGGCAACAGCCGCGACGCCAAGGAGATGCCCGGTGAGGCGGTGAGGGTCGGCTGACCGGCCGGCCGGGTTGTGAACTTGTTGACGCGCGATACGCGCGGTTATATGGACTTGCACGCTTTGTGTGTTCTGTGTGGGCTTGATCCGTGCCGCTGTTGACGCGTACGGCCGCCCAGTGTCAGAGCCGAGGTCAGTCGGCGCAGCTGACCGGGGCCGGTGTGTGCGATGGCGAGCGCGGCACTGGGGCGGCGCCAGCGACGAACGGGTATGAGCCGCCCTGGAGGAGGCGGACGCGCCAGCCCCGATGCTTCGCCACTGGTCGCCACTGGCCTGCCGCCACCCCTCACGCCGCCCCACTCGTGTTCTCAGACGGCTTCGAGAACATTCCCAAGTTGGAGGAGTTCATGCTGACGTCGCCGACCAAGGACACGTTCTGGAAGCAGGACACCACCAAGTACGTTCTGCTGGCCATCCGCGACCGCAAGATCGACTTGAAGACGGGCGCCGAGCTGCTGGGCGTGTCGTATAACACCATATACGGCCGATACCGGGAGGCGCACGGTCTGCTGTCGGACGCGCCGATGGCGTCGCCGGCGCGCGCCGCGCTCGCCGCCAGCGCCGGCTCGGTCTCCGGCGAGCTGATGGGCACGCCTTGCACGCCCGGCAAGGGTGGACCGCGCGACTCCCGACTCGGCGGCCCCGCCCTCGACAAGGTCGGTGGCCGGCCCAAGCCGCCGCACGGTGTCTGGTGTTCGTGCTCACTGCCTGTCCGGTTGAAAACGCTGGAATGCGTGCCTTGAACTTCCATTCGATGCTTGCTTTTCCGTGTTTATCGCATGTCAACGTTGTTAGTCTTTGGTCCGAGTGTTCACTGTTGGGGTGCCACGGATGGATTCCGCCATCGCCACTAGCCGAACCAAGAGACTGGCGCCTTTTCAGTGGGCCATGCTCAGGGTGGAGCGTGCTGCTTATGTGCGTGCCGCATGTCCATTTGTCGTTGCGCGCGCCCGGCGCCCTCTGATGTGTCCCGTCAGACAGGTGTGTGCGTGGCGTGTTCACTCCTGCTGACCACACGCTGCGCCGTGTCGGGCAGGGTGCCGAGTTCGGCAACGTGATTCAGATGAACGACTACGTAAACAGCGGCGGCTCGCGGCCGTCCTTCTGGGAGCTGGACGCCACCAAGACGGTGATGGAGGCCATTCGCGACAAGTCCATCGAGATGAAACACGCGGCCGAGGTTCTGGGCGTCTCGTACGGCACCCTCTACGGCCGCTACCGCGAGAACTACGGTTATCTCAAGGCCAATTGGAAACAGAGGTAGGAAAAACAAAGTGGAAGAGGCAAAGGGGACAAACTGTGCAGCACCGACGTCTTACCCGTAGGCCCCCAGCTGTGTTTGAGCTGGGCGCTGCCGTGCCCCGCATATCTCCCCAAAAGTGTGCTGTCGAGGCTGTGAGTAGGGGGTGGGGGGAACAGAATGGTATCTCATCGTTATAGCCGTTTTTGTGCACGTGTCCGCCCCGCCTACGCTAAGATTTGTGAGGCTGTCCTGATTCCACGACTGTGCAACAAAATGCTCGAATGACATGTGGAATGGGATGTTTTCTTAGAATTGAGGACTTACTGTCGAAACAGCTTTAAAATTACCCTGAACGGAGTTTAACATTATACTGGATCCTCCAAGAGACATTTCCAGTATCATTACAAACATTCCCACTGTCATTGAGAATCATGTTAAAGAACAATAACCGAAACTTTCTGTTTTGAAATATGACTGATCGCAGCAGTCAGTTCACCGTTTAGTGAAGAAGAGGTAGCCGACCCATGGACCAAAAAGTACGATCACGCTGTTCAAAACTCGCGTATGAACAAGTTGCTCCTCGCTTGCCAGAGCTGAATAATTGTTCAGACCTGACCAGAGCGAATAAGTATCACATCTCACCGAAGGAATAAGCTGACGAGAACACTAAGGAGATTAGAAAACTGGGGGGGGGGGGGGGGGCGCACGTTTACGCAGTGCGCACACGCTGCTAATGGAGCATATGGCAGGCAAACAATAGGCAGCTGAACATAGTGCAATAAACACTGATCTAAGAAATATGAAAGCAAGCAAGAGCGAAAAACAACGCCGATCGGAACATGCTGGAGTCGCCGCACGTCCGTAGTTGTCCCAGGCTAAACACAGATGCGTCGTTTTGGGACATGATTTAACTGAAGTGTTTCAGGTAAGGTGCGGTTAGAAGTAGTTCGCTAGTCGTTGCTACAAGCACAGATGCCCTGTAGCGAGTTGCTTTCGAATCCTTTGCTAGGTACGAGACTTCGGGTCACCGAAGCCATTCGGTCTAACCGTTCGTCTTTTGGGCTGCCACAAGCACGGCGCCGTTTTTCGGTTGTAAGCCGGAATGATAAGTGGCTTTCAACCCTTCGCCCAGCGGAGTTAAAATAAAACATACTAGCATGCCCCGTGGAATGTATGTGGCGTATCTGAAGCAAGTTAGGAGGGTGGAGTTGACCAAAAGTATTCCGATCTTCTCATGCCCAGTTGCCAAGAAGCATGAGGAGCACCTTCCACATTCATTTGGATTTGGCACAGCAGAGCAGCAACAAGGACACGTGGCCAACGACACTCGCCCGCCAGTATTGCTACACGTAGGTTTGTGGGCATGCCTCCTGACACTCGTGGCGTCCGTGTCGGCAGCCGCCGTATCGGCGCAGGGCAGCCTTTGGGAGGAGCCGCAGACCGTGGAGCTGCTGCGCCGCGTCAACCTCGGCGAGGTCTCCATCAACGAGGCGGCCGAGAAGCTTGGCGTCGACTACTACGTCCTGCAGTACCAGCTCAACCTGATGGACATGCACGGCGCGATCAACGCGACTGCCGGCGATGAGGCGGCCGCTGCTGCCGCCGCTGCCGCCGCTGCCGCCGCTGCCGCCGCCGGCGCTGGCCAAGTGACCAAGCGCGCCGGCCCCGCCGACGACGAGCCGGCCGATAAGCGCGCCCGCGTCGAGAACGGCGGCGGCGGGGACACGGCGGCGCCGGCCGAGCCGGCGGCGACCGCGGGCCAGGCCGGCAATGCGCCGCCGCCGGCCGACGAGGAGACGGCTTCGGCCGCGCCGGCTAATGGCAGTGCCGAGCAGAAGGCCGAGTAGCGCGCGCCGGCCAGTCGCGCCGCCGCTCCCCTACAACATATTCCAGTTTGGTACACGTTTTTAAGATAGCTTGATATATTTTTATGTTGCTAACACCTTGGTGGCGCCGCGACAAGTAGAGGCAGCGGAGTTCGCCTTCTCCCGGGCTTCTTCGGTGTTTATTTGATAAGCGCGAGCGTTGACGGACTCGAGGTTCGCCCTGCAAGCGGCGCTGCATGACGTCCCCGACAGACGGTAGCTGTTTGTAAATACGCCTCTGTGATTGTTGCCCGGTTTTGTATATAGTTCTCTGCACGAGCTTCTGCACGTGCGTGCGCGGGCGCGTGTCGGCCCTCTGCGCGTCCCCGAGCGGTGGCCGCGTCCAGCGCTGTCCGGAGCGGGTCCGGTGCCGCCGCCGCCGCCGTTGGGCCTCTAGTGCCTTACTGTCAGTGTCTTCGGCCCGCGGAGACCGGCTGCCTGCGCCCCGTTGTACATAGCGCGCGGGCCGAGTGGCGCGCCCTGGGCTCGCCCGCCGGGCGGGGCCGAGCCGAGCGGCGTTTTTTGTACCCGCTTGAGACGTATGGCCGGCGGCCGCGGCGACCATCGCAGCGGAAGGCGCTCGCGCCAGCCCGTCCGCCGGCGGCCTGTCGGCTAATCATGCGTTACCACTGGCGTTTGTTTCCGCAGGACTTGATGTATCAGTGATTCTACTCTGTCAAACAGTATTAATGTCGATTGGTGCGGTCGTGTTCGTGGGGGCTAGTTTTTGCGTACGCTGTTCACCTGGCGCTCTTTGGTCTTAGGTAGATGTTTGGTATGATTTAGACAGCCTCGCGCACCATGCCGGCGTGTCCCGGTTAACTTGTTACATTTACACACACATATATACTCTTGATTGCTTTCAAACGAACCACCGGCCCTTTGTTTTTGTACTATATGTGTGAGAATGTGCGCTCGCAGAAGCAAGCGGAGATGAGCTGTGGCCCGGACGCCCGTCGGTAGCGTTCCCGTGTCACTTGCCTGTTCGGGGCCGTGGGTGTGACTGACTGAGAGGGAGAGAGAGAGAAGAGACAATGCGCAGAGACCCCGATCAAATCGTGTGCGAATCTGCGCGCCGCACCCGGCCACAGGCAACGTAAAGTTAAGTATGAAATACAGGACGTATCTACTCGCTGATGTGTGGCACGCCCAGCCCGGCCGAGTGACTGCGCGAGCGGCCGCGTGCCGATCGGGCCTTCGGGTCAGCCTGCCACGGAGAAGTCTTCAGAGGCGCTGCTGACGCGGCCCCAGCTGAGACTGGGGCAAAGCTGGGACATTGTCGAAGGTCACGCCTTTTCGCGGCTGACATCTCTGCTGCCCGGATAGCAGTTGTATGCGGTATTAGATTAATTAATACATTACAGATTAATACATGAGTGAATGCACCATGTATTACATACTGGCTATAAGTCACTAACAACCTGTGTCTGTCCGACCTCAAGGTGCACTAGCGACCGACCGAAAATCGAACAATGTCACCTTTTATAAACTGTCGCCATGGAGACTGCGGCCCGAACCGAGACAGAGTGGGCCACACAAGCTACACAGACGTTTCTAGCTTTGCTTAGTTTAACCGATGTCTGCCCAGAATGTTGGGATATATTGCAATAATTTGGTCACAGTTGTCAAGACGTGTGGCATTGCAAATTTGCCTTAAAAATACCAAGCCTGACCGCTCATAAACATCCGTTTTTCAAGCCGTGCTGGTTGTGAATTAGTGCGCAAATTATAAACTTGGGTCCACCGCATCATAGATGTTCGTGACGCGCGGGCTTTCCAACGCATTGATGGTACCCGCTGACATCAGTTGGGGAATATGTCTGATCTCATGACCTTGTTTTCTAGACGCCATCCACGTGACGCCTGAACTCTAACACCTGTAATCGCCTCGCTCCTCCTACGCCGCACATCTTACTGGCATACCTCAGTTTTCTGGTCCAAAATATATCTGTGTTCATTGCATAAAATTCACTTCAAGACGTCGTGTTCTGATGCAGCAAAGACGCACTTTTCATTCCCGGGGTTGAGTAGCAAGCACAGGCTCCGGATTGTACAAGCCAACTCCTGTACACAAATCAGGCTCGTGTCCCGGTGGGCAAGTCAAGAGCACATTAGACCTCGACACCAAACATCAGACCCAATACGTTGTCGCATAACGGATTCCCAAAACGTGCACACAGATTTCCATTGGCACACGCAACATTTGAGTGAATCAGAGTACCGAAGAAAATGAGCAATTGCATTAACAACAGTGACGGCTTAGCGAGACATTGGTACGCTACTCACGTTCATTCATGACCTTGTTCACCATGAATTCGTACATACTGGAGTTAACGTCCTCGCAGGCGGCGATCTGGCGACGCAACTGCTCGATGGTGTCCGCCTGGTCATCAGCCGGCTCCTCCAGCGGCCGCTCGGCGATCACCAGGTCCAGCTCGAGCGGCGCCGCCGGGTCGGCGCGCTGCCGCTGCAGCGGCGCCACGTGCAGGGGCGGCGGCGCCGGCGGCGCGCCGTCACGCAGCGCCGCCGGCCACGCCGTCAGCACCACGTTGGTGACGGCGCCCCGGTGCGGCAGTGTGCGCACGCACTGGCGGCTCGGCACGTGCCAGAGCCGCACGGTCTGGTCGTCGGCTCCGGAGACGAGCGTGCGGCCGTCGTGCGTGACGGCCAGGCAGGTGACGCGGCCAGTGTGGCCGGTCAGCGCCGCCACCTGCTCCGTCGGCAGGTGCTGCTCCAGCGAGCGTGGCGGGTCGACCAGCGCGAACGACAGCACGGCGCCGGCGCCGGTGCCCACGAACACGCGGCTCTCGGCCGGATCAGCCGTCACCGCCGTCAGGCCTGCGTCAAACGACACGGACAGCAGCAGCTGCCCGCTGGCCAGCTGGTACACCTTGCACGTCTGGTCGCGCGAGCATGTGAAGACGCGGGCGCGTACACCACCGCCGCCCACGTGCAGTCCGGTGACGGGCAGCGAGTGGTCGGACCACACGTGCAGCGGCTCGCCGGACCGCGCCGCTTCGGCGTCCACGCAGGCAGCCAGTGGCCAGACGGCCACCAGCCCGTCAGCGGCGGCCGACACGAAGTGCGAGCCATCGTCGCTGAAGCGGAGGGCCGTCACCGCCTGGTAGTGGCGCGCCAGCACGGTCAGCAGCCGGCCGCTTGGCAGGTGGTGCACCAGCAGCCGCTCGGCCACGGCCAGCACGCACCAGGCGGCGCTGGGGTCGACGGCCAGCGCACCGACGGCGCCGGGCGTGCTCAGCCGCTGGTGGACGGCGTCGCGGCGCGCCATACGCCACAGCTGCACGCCGGCGCGGCCGCCGTCGGCCGACGCCAGAGAGTGGCCAGCCAGCACGACCAGCGTGCCAGCCGCGGCGCGGCCGCCGCGGAACACGGCCACCTGCGTGCCCGTGCTCGGGTCCCAGGCGGCCGTGTTCCAGGACGGCGACTCAGCGTCGCTGGTCAGCAGAAGCTCCAGTTGAGACATGACGTCCGTGCTGGTCAGCGTCACCGGCTGATGCCGCACAGCAGCAGTTGGAAAAACACATTGGGGTGCATGTTAACACCCATATGTCAGGCATCCCCACATGAGCTCACAGCCTGCTCCCTTGGCTGGCCTAAACTCCTCACCAAAGAATACTGACTGATGTCACACTGAGCCCTGTAATGGCGCAAGCACCCTGACTAGAAAAAATATACATCATGACAATCACAGGCCTCCTGCCAACTTCCAGCATTCATGTACTTATGGCAGTGTGGGCATGCCATTTGATTGACATGTATCCCATGCCAATCTGCATACAGTCCTTTGTTGTCCAAATTTGTTAGCAAATAGTTTTTCCTTATGAAGCTGGCTGTTAACCAGCATATGGCATCCCACACCTTAGAACTAAAAACAAGAAACAACATGCACAATCATTCCTTGTGATACATAAAAGAAGTGTGCACTTCATCTGTAAAAGCCACAACAGTCTTTAACACCCAACCTGCAGTGTGCAACCTGCAATATTTAGCTTTCATCCCTATACTTCAGCTCACAGGCCACTGGACACCTGACCACTAAAGTGGTGGACTATATGAATCTGAGGCTCAGGGTCCATGCTTGATTATTTGGGCCTTCAGAGTTGGCCAACTGAGAACTGGCCATAAAAGGGTCAAGCTGGCATGAGCTGACCTTGTCATGCCAATGTCTTATGCAATTTAAGGGATGTTGGCCAAAAATTATTCATCCAAAACACCCATGAAAATAAGTAACTTACTATTTTTGAAAAATAAAACAATATATAAATTTGAATGTAGCCCATTCTTGTGGGTCATGGATGCCCTGGGCTAGATAAAAAATGATTGTGATTAAGACAAGGCAAGGTCTTAGTCACCTTGGTGGTGGTGGTAGTCACCTTAGTCACATGGGTAAAGGGATGGTGCATTGATTGGGATTCCTAGGGTAAGGATGGTGCATTGATTGATATTTCTGTCTGCCTGTCAGAATAAAACTCAATGATTGTGATTCCCAGGGTAAGGACGGTGCATTGATTGAGATTCCTGTCTGCCTGCCAGAATAAAACTATTTTTGTTAGACAACCATGCCAGAGCAGACTCCAACAAAAGTAAGAGAATACAAAGAGGTCTATCTACCCTTCAAAACAAAATATACCTGATTCCATACAACCACAATTCAATCAGTGTTGCATTATAACCAGCCATCAGGTAACCTGAATCTCAAGAGAATGCTGTTAGGTTAAATCAGCCTTGATCTCAGTCAAAGACAGCATAAGGCTCAGCTCCTAGAAAATGTACAACCCAGAGGTTAGGCCATTCTCATTTTGCTGACTGATACCATTCTTATTGCATTTACCCTGAGAAGAGATATACAGTCTAGTCATATTCATATGCTGCAAATGCACCAAAACACTCATTGGTTACTGGTCAAGTTGTGCACTTTCACAAATGCCACTCTCACAATGATTATGCAATATTTTTGGGAAAACAGTTGTGTGGTGAGCAGGACAGTATAACATTGTGAACATATCATAAATCATTCTCAAAGTAACTTAATCTTAAAGGCATGAAGTTTAATAATATCCAATGACAGCACTAGTTCTTGATGGAAATTGCCCACCCATGATTAAAAAACCATTCTGGTTATAACAACAATTGAAAAGTACAAGAGGTTTCCAAGCTTATACTTCCTGTCCCACAAATGCTTATGCAGAAATATTACAACTTATCAGCACTAGAAAAAAACTTGGTAAAACCCAAGCAAACACAATGTGTACCAAAGAACTTGAATTGCTTGTAAAACTTCAAACACCCCAGAGGCACTCTTCAATGCAACTGTTTTTACTATTCCATCTTTGTGCACTGCACAGATTAAACCACCAAATAATGGGCTTTTGCAGCATCTTTCTGCCATCCAAAGGTAACACCACAGGTTTATTTTTGGTCACCTTACATTTTTGATGTTATTTGATTAATCTTCCAAAACTGCATTTGGTTATCTAGGCCGAAAGTTGTAATTTTCACAAGCTTTTAGCAAAAGAAGAGGGCTAAAAGCTCGTGAATATTTCAACTAATGGTTTAAATGGATAAATTTAGCTCGAGAAGAAAAGCAAGTGATATCGAACACTAAAATGGCCAACAATGAACACATGGGGTTTTGGCTTTGAACGGCAGCTTTGGCAACACCGCACGCACGCCATTCAATAAAGCAGTCCTTGTGCAGTCCCTCTTAATTGCAGCGTCTATACGCACCAGCTTTAGCTACCGTACGTGAGGCCGGCTTCTACCACCCTGCCATTCAGTAAAGCAAAGTCCTTGTGCAGTCCCTCTTAACTGCAGCGTCTATACGTACCAGCTTTAGCTACCGTACGTGGGGCCGGCTCCTACCACCCCGCGTGAAGCCGGCATTGCCCACACATTTCTGCTGTGTGCTACACCATGCGGCAAGTTGACTACACGAGAAGCCAATTTTGCAAACAGTGCGCAGCTTTCCCTCATTTTGGTGTTACTAACTTACTGCTAGCTCGGAGGTCAACTCAGAGTGCTTTGAGCCGGATGCTTGGGTGATGAACGAGGCTTCCCAATTTCGTTACTCACAATACTGCACCCAAAGGGTCAGTTCCGGATCCAGGATTTTTCAGGAGGGAATATGCAGCATAGGGGGCACTGGTCTTTATGCTCTGTCCAAACGATTCCTCGGATTTTGGTCAAAATTTTGAGATTATTCTGTGCCTTATTTGTTATGAGTGTGAAGTGAAAATTTGCTAAATAGGTTCGCCCTCTGCCGGGCGGACTATTTTGTAGTGCTTTGGGGACGTGTATGCTAATTAATGGTAAATTCCACCCATTTCAACCCTGATTCTAGCTATTTTACATGTTTTTGTGCCAACGGCGCCTCGCTTTGGGCTACAGGATCTGATATCGTGCTAGTTTTGTGTTACGCGGATTTTTCCACCTTTCATCAGTTAAGATTTTCGACAAGAGTCTTGATTTCTGTCTTCTTTTACTCTTACGTGGCATCCCCTCTACCGGCCAACATTATGTTATGCGGGTTTCCCATGCATCGTAGTTTCCTTCGGCTTGATTTTACCGTTCGTGTAACTCGGAGCAAAACGCTCGTATTTTGTTCGCAATATGGTCGTGCTTAACCGGCGGATTTCTCAGCGACACCAAACGGCAATTACGAGATTCCCAGAGCTCAACTTGCTTAAAACCATGAAGCGCCGCAGCTGATTCAATGATTTAGATGAAGTTATTATGTGGTTTTTGAAGTTACATATTTGCACATTGGAAAAAGCAGCGTGCGGCCCACGGTGGATGGATGCGCCACGCACCACATCTGAATCTTGCCTATTCAATTCCGTTCCCGGGATTGCAACACATATGCCCGTCGCAAGAATTTCCTGCTTGCACATTGAAAAACAGAAAATTGAGTAAATCTTGCAAGCTACATAGCACATCTATGAAGAACATAAAGCACTTATGGTCGAAAGTGAGGGGTTGTCGACATTGTGAGGCTTTTTTCACTGATGAGCGGTGGACATGAGCTGATGAACGGCGGCCTGCCGACTGCTGATCGGTGGCCTGACCAACTGCTGATCGGTGGCCTGCCGACTGCTGATCGGCGGCCTGTCGACTGCTAAGCGGTGTCTGTCGGCTGACGGCGAAGCTCTGTAAAGATCAGGAAAAGCGGTAGAACGGGGGTAAAACCACATCACTGTCATGCAACAGGTCTATAGTTGGTTTTTATTTGCCCTAGTAACTTCTTGCCGCAGTCATGTTGTTCCCGGACAAGTTTCTTCCTTGTTCTTCTGTTTTTCGTGGCCTCACGTGTATCTTCCCGTTATTGTGAATCTAACATGGGTGAAAAACGTATCCAGCGACGTGTTTTATCTCACAAGCGCTGCAACCTACGAAGTGAAGGGCCATTTACTTTCTAGGGCGTCAGGTGCTCGTTCTGGGGTGTGTTGTGCAATGCGTCAAGTACGTTCTTTTGTGGCATCGATGATAGATTTTTATCACCTGCCGCTATCATTGCCCCAGACTGGTCCATTGACTGTAATGATCCTGACTTTGTTGCGGGATCCTGGTATACATGATGCAGCACAAACCATGTTGGTGGTAGCTGCATCGAAATATCTAACTCTTCTCACTTGCGTTTTTGCCCCTCCTGCCATTGGTTAAGGCGGCCCTCAAGTTAAATTTTGTATGTGTTATCATTTTGCATAACTCCTGGTTGAGCCAAATGTGGCTTAGGCCTGTTCACATGTACCTTTCTGATATCTCCTCTACGCATTGGGTGCTAAAGTAAATATTTTAACGACGCGTCTTGTAAATGCAGCGGAAGCCTCTTTCCAGCAGCTATGTACTTAATTCGCCGGGCCTGGCTCCATTTTTTTGGCCCGGCAAAAGTATCGCTTTATCAGTCTGATACTTAATGCTTTTTGATTTCTGGTAGTCATGAACGTTTGCCTTTCTCTCGCTGTCTTGAGCCTGCTTTGCGCCAGCTGGAATGTGTCGCGGAGTCGTCGCGCCATTACTGATCGCGCCTCCCCAGCTGACTCTGCGGTCGTACAGTCGTCGCCGAGACGGCGACCTAGCGGCGTCTTTGACTCGCTGCCGAACATGAGAAAAACCGCGTTTCTCTTGTTTACTCTTGTGTTGCCGTTCGGTAGGCGAAGAGAACTTCAGGCAGGTACTGGTCCCAATCTGACTGATTCTCCACGACAAATGCCCTAAGCATTCTGGCTAGGGTGTTAATAAAACGTTCCACTAAACCGTTTTTGGAGGACGCATAAGGGAAGGCGAAAACCTGCTTGATACTTATTTCTGTGCGACAGCTATCGATCGTTGTGCTCCTGAAGGCGGGATTATTATCACTCAGCAATACTTCAGTGGCTCCGTACTCCAAAACCCGTTTGTGAATGTTTTAACTGGTTTGTCGGTTTGACCTCTGGTTGTAATGGCCAGCAGAAATTTCGTAAAACTGTCAATAATCACCAATATATGTTGCTTCCTTGTATTTGACATCATAGGTGATGGATCCAAATAGTCAAGCGACACCATCCTCCATGACCCTTTCGGCACCAGTGTTTCATTAAGTGGCGCTCGGGTCCAGCGCATCGGTCCTTTTGTTTGGCAGACTTGACAGGTTGCACGCAGTGATCAGCGACGTAGTGCATACGTTTGAAGAAATATGTTGCCTTCAATTCTGCCGTCGCTTTCTTGGTCTGAAGTTATTACATGTGCGCTTCCCCGAAGATGGCCGGTGGCAGCTGTCTTAGCTCGCACAATTCATGTCGTACTTCGCATAATTTATCCAATGCTTTCTTTTGGAATCGCATCAACGCTAATGCGAAGCTCGTGATCGTTTCCCCATGATGGGTTATCATTCTCTTAATTGTTGTGACGCCTAAGAAGCTGGCAATACCTCATCTTAACGCTCGCATTGTAATGCTTTCTGCCTGTTACCATGGTATCTGAGGGATTGAGGCGGGACGCATGTGATGCTCTTACGGTCTAATTTTCACCTTGGCATATCCGACGACAGCGTTCATTCCGTCGCTCCTTGTTTCCCACGTCACCAGCTTGCCCGGGTGTTTCCTATGATGAGGACGAAGCTCCACTTATCCGTTTGTGCGCAGTTTGAATCTCCTGCCGCCAGCTCCTTGTTTCCCACATCATCAGCTGGTGCGGATGCAGTGTGCACTGTAGCTGCCATCCTCCCTCTCGACCTGTGTGTGTGTGTGTGTGTGTGTGGTGTGTGTGTGTGTGTGTGTGTGTGTGGTGTGTGTGTGTGTGTGTGTGTGTGTGTGGTTGTGTGTGTGTGTGGTGTGTGTGTGTGTGTGTGTGTGTGTGTGTGTGTGTGTGTGTGTGTGTGTGTGTGTGTGTGTGTTTGTGTGTGTGTGTGTGTGTGTGTGTGTGTGGTGTGTGTGTGGTGTGTGTGTGTGTGTGTGTGTTTGTGTGTGTGTGTGTGTGGTGTGTGTGTGTGTGTGTGTGTGTGTGTGTGTGTGTGTGGTGTGTGTGTGTGTGTGTTGGTGTGTGTGGTGTGGGTGTGTGGTGTGTGTGTGTTGTGGTGTGTGTGTGTGTGTGTGTGTGTGTGTGGTGTGTGTGTGTGTGTGTGTGTGTGTGTGTGTGTGTGAGAGAGGGGGAGAGAGACAGAGAGACAGGGAGAGACAGAGGCAGAGCAGAGAGAGAGAGAGGAGAGAGAGAGAGAGAGAGAGAGAGAGAGAGAGAGGAGAGAGAGAGAGAGAGAGAGAGAGAGATAGAGAGAGAGAGAGAGAGAGAGAGAGAGAGAGAGAGAGAGAGAGAGAGAGAGAGAGAGAGAGAGAGAGAGAGAGAGAGAGAGAGAGAGAGAGAGAGAGAGAGAGAGAGAGAGAGAGAGAGCTGTGTCTACTACTCTCTTATGAGAGCTGAATTGCAACTCTTGGTTATGATGGTCGCCGCTAGCGCATGTTCGGAACAGAGCAAATGGAGCAGACTCGGATTTTCTGTCATATCCTTCTCTGGCCTGGTCTTCCAGCCTCGATAGAAATTCGCAGTTCCTTTCGTTTGAACCGCCCCGGTGAGTCACTTCCAGAACGCACTCTTGAAGCGCGAGCGCCCACCTCTGCAGCCGAGGATTCGGACTCTTCAGGGTGGATATCCATTCAAGTGCCAGTGGTCGGTGACAGCATGCACCTTCCTCCCCAGTAGATTAGTCCAGAATGGTTACATGCATGATTAGAGCAAACGTCTCCATCTCCGCTGATAAATATGCTTTCTTTTTATACAGCCTTTACGTCCTCACACTCTCTAAGAAGGCTGTAATTAAAAGTGTGCTTTTATTTGCGGTAGGTATAGCTGCTTTTTCGTATGTTCTATGAGGACACTTGATAGACTCCAAAAGTGAAACTTGTTTTGCCAGCTGATCGTTTCTCAAATGCACTTTTCCCGGAAACTTTGTTTCTGACTCGTTTTTTTTCTCGAGCATTTGGACTGCTGTCACTAACACTTTATTTATGTGGACGGTTTCCTTGGCCGGCTGCTTATGAAGTTCTAAACATCACATTGCCTTGCCTTAGTGTTCAAGACTTCTTCGCCATGCTTCGCTTCAACGATGGCATCAAATGATGCACATGCGTTTTGTCAGGCCGTCCGACGCAAATCTGTTTTTTTTCCTTTTGAAACAGGTATTAAATCTTCTGATATTGTCCACAACTCACCGTTTTTGCTTCTTTAGCCATTTCATTTGCTTCGTATGTTGTTGATTTGTTGCAAATCATGTCATGGGTTCGGCATGGCGCTTGGGGTGGCTGATGGAAATCAAGGTGATAGCACT